AGGGAGTGCACAACCAATCTTATGATGAGAAGATGGGTCACATTCCAACCTCCCTGGGATCTAGATGGAGAGTTTATCTCCAACACAACTCCATCACTGTCTTCAGCGATTATCACCCACCATTTTCCCACTCTGCTCTCTTTCCCTACCCCTGTATAAGCTCCTAGCTTTCCTCTTCTATTCTAGGCTGATCAGCCTCTCTAAGTGATTATAATCCAAATAAGAGTTGGGTATCCACAGCAGCTATGCAGATATCACTGGGAAAATCTCCTCTCTCCCCATACATATTGAACCCCTCTCCCCCAGATCACCTCCTGGCATCTGTAAAAACCATCCTCCCCCTTACATTTTCACTGGTGAATCACATAGGATAATTAGTCATGGTTAGGTTACTATCAAAGATCTCATTATCTTTTCTCCAAATCAACCCTTCTTCTGAACATTTCTATTTCTAGTGAGGGCCATCTTTCCAATCACCAAGGTTTCACAATCCCAATGTCATCCTGGAAGTTTGTCAAGGATTTATCATTTATTCTGCTTTTGTTTAAAAGAATACTCTACAGGTGTCAAGGTGTTTGACTCCTAACCATATACCATGCTTTCTTGCCAGATTTGTGATCTGGTTCCTGAACTTTCTGTCCTCTCACCCACCTGATTCCTTATTCTTATTTCCCTCAATCCTTCCACCCCAAAATTCCCACCAACCCAATTCTTCTGCTGTGCCTGTAGAATCTGTGTCTTTTCCCATAGGCAACAAATCTGCCTTCATCTTAAATCTTTTCCTTTCCCGCTCCTTCCACCTTCTAGCAACCACCAAGACCTGGCTCCCCTTTGATGAAACAGCATCCCTGCCCACAGCTTCCAGTACTGGCTATACTTTCACTTATTCCCCTTGTCTCATCTATCAAAGTGAGGGAACTGAAATGTTCCTTGCTCCCCATTGCCCCTTCCAGATTCTCCCCCTACCTCCATCACTGAGCATACCTTTCTTCCTTTGAGATTCATACAAACCACATTTTCCATTCAACTAGGACCCTGTTGTCTACAGACCTATAGGACGCTCCTATATGTCTATAAACTCTCCTCAATGAATTATCTGGTTCACAATCTTCCTCTCTGCCCCAAACTCCTGCCCTCATATAAGGAGATCAACATGCTTATTGACACTCCCTCAAATACTGAAGACTTTTAGCCCACCCCCTCATTAAGTGTCCACCAATTAGGGTTGGATTTCACTTGTCAAGGGAATTTCCCTTCAGAAGGGTTATTTAAAGCTTTCAGGGTCTCCATTGGGAGTCTATGGTTACCAAGAGAAACCACTGACCATCAATTTATTGCCAGTTAGCCTAATTAATAAGTTGATTATTAATTATCCGGAAACTATGTCTTGGAATTTTCATTTGTTTCAACCATACAAGTTTTGTTCTATATAGGTGAACTTCCTTTATATCAATTACCTCATTGGAGTACGTGCTTAGTAGGGGAATCTCTGGGCCAGAGGGTTTAGGCATTTTAGATCCTTTATTTGCATAATTCCAAAATGCTTTCCAAAATGGTTGTTCTAAATCACATCTCCTCCAGAAATGCACAAATGTACCCATCTTCTCAAAACCTTGTCAACATTGACTATTTCCCTGTTATATTTGCCAGCTTGCTGGTTGTGAGGTGAAACCTCAGGGTTATCTTGATTTGTATTTCTCTTATTAATGATATGGAGACATTCTTTCAGTTATTCATACTTTGCAATTCTCTGAAGAACTGTTTTTTCTTCTTTGATCTCATCTCTGGGGAATGGCTTTGGCTTTTTTATGTTTGTTGTCAGTATACAATCTTTGATACCTTAACTTTTTTTAAATAATATTTTATTTTTCCAGTTACATGTAAAGACATTTTTTAACATTTAAAAAAAATTTGTGTTCCAAATTTTCTCTTTCCCTCCCTCACTTCCCCCCTTCCTTGAGACAGTAAGCAATTTGATGTTATACATGTTTGATCATGCAAAACATTTTACCATCCATATCAGTCATATTGTGAAAAACACAGACCCAAAGAGTGAAAAAAAAATGAAAAAAAATACAGAAAGTAAAAAAATAGTATGCTTTGCTCTGCTTTCAGACTCTTTTAGTTCTTTCTCTAGAGGTGGATAGCATTTTCATCATGAATCCTTTGGAACCGTCTTGGATCATCGTATTACTAAGAATAGCAAAGTCATTCACAGTTGATCATTGTATTGTACAGTATTGCTGTTACTGTGTACAATGTTCTCCTGATTCTGCTCACTTCACTTTGCATCAGTTCATGTCTTCCAAGATTTTTCTGAAACCCACCTGCTCATCACTTCTATAGCACAGTAATATTACATTATAACCATATACCGCAATTTGTTCAGCCATTCTGCAATTAATGGGCATTCCCACAATTCCCAATTCTTTGCCACTACAAAAAGAGCCATTATATTTTTGTACAAATAAGTCCTCTCCCCCTTTTTAAATCTCTTTGGGTTATAGACCTAGTAGTCTATATCCCTGTCTTATAGCCCTTTGGGCATAGTTCCAAACTGCTCTCCAGAATGGTTGAATGGGTTCACAACTCCACCAGCAGTGCATTAGTGTCCCAATTTTCCCACATCCCCTCCAACATTTATTATTTTTCTTTTCTGTCATATTAGCCAATCTGATAGGTATGAAGTGGTACTTCAGAGTTGTTTTAATTTTCTTTAAGGACCTTTTAATTGCTAAATCCAATGGTCTTTCCTCAAACCTCATCAATCTTTCTGCAGCACTTCACCATGATGACCACCTCTTTTTTGGCGATACTTCCAATTCCTTTGAATTCTATGATCACAGATCTTCTGATTCAGACTGCTTCTTGATCTTCTTCCTCCTAAATCCCCAATTTGGGGTAGTCTAAAATTGTGGAAAGAACACTTGCTTTGAAATCAGAGGACCCAGTTTCAAATCCTACCTCTGCTGTTTCAGTTTCCTCATCTGTAAAATGAGGGCTTGAGATTATTAGATGACCCTCTGGGATCCTACTCTGCTCTAAATGATATTCTCTCTGTGGAATTCCTAAGTGGGTGACAAAAGTCTTTTTTTTCTTTTTAACATTCATTTTAAAAAATTTTTGAGTTCTAAATTCTCTTCCTTCAGCCCCTCCCACACCTACTAAGGCAACAATGTGATGTCAATTATACATGTAAAGTCATGCATTAATATATTTCTATATTATCCCTGTTGAAAAAAAAAAGAGGAGTAGAAAAAATAGATTCAATCTGCATTTAGACTCCATCAGTTCTCTCTATGGAGCTGGACAGCACTTTTCATCATGAGTCCTTCAGAATTGTCTTGGATCATTGCATAGATTGGCTAGTTTTGCACAGCTGATCATCATTACAATATTTTTGTAACTGTGTACAATGCTCTTCTGGTTCTGCTCACTTCACATCAGTTTGTATTAGTCTTCCCAGGTTTTTCTGTAACCACCTGTCATTTCTTATAGCACAATAACATTCCATCAAAATTTTGTACCACAATTTGTTCAGCCACTCCCCAAATCCCCTCAGTTTCCAAATTTTTTG